TGCCCTCTGCTGACCTCTGCGGGCATTGCACAACATGGGTGCACTTATGTACATGCAGGCAATACACTCATATACAGAAAATTAAAAACAAAACAAAATAAAATAAAATAGTAAAATAAAATAGACCCTACATTCTAACACTCTAGCATATTTCCATGTTCCTTCATTTTTTTTTTTTTTTTTTTTTTTTTTTTCACTATGTAGCTCAGGCTGCCTCCAATTTGCAATCCTCATACCTAGTCTTCTGAGTGTTCAGGCATTTATTTTTGAGAAGTTGGGTAGTATTCTGATACAGAAAACCCAGAGAAATGGGTTGGATTTACTGAGTACATGACCAGCTTTCCATATTCTGCCTAAGAAGCTAGAGAGTGTGGTTTCATGAGAGTGCGTCCTTGGAGCAGACAGTTTTTACTCATTGCTTATTTTATCTGCAGGTTGGACCAAAGAATGCTAATGATTCATTTGATTGATTTTTTTCCATAAAGAGAACACATGGCAGGGTTCAGGAGACTACCTTCACAACATTATCTCTGCCTCCCTTTGTTGAACTTGTCTACTGATCTGTGAGTCTAGGAAAAAAAAATGAGATGGTTTCCTGCAAGATATCCTCCCCAAATTAATGAGAAATGAAACAAAAATAATAAATAGGTTTAAGAATATACTGCTAGTAAATGCAAATATGGACTAATTTAGTATGTTTAATGTTTTGTTATTGAAAAAAATTGAGAATTTTATACATGCATATAAGGTGTTTTGATCAAATCCATGCCCACTCCATCCCCTCCAACTCCTCCCGTATCTCCCTATCACTTTTTCCTGAGCAACTTCGTGTACTCTTACTCCTTATTTTTTCTTATGGGGCTTTTTGCTACTCTAACATTCCCCCCTCTGAAGAGGAAACCCTAAAATCTTTCAGAGATTAGATAAGAGCTCCAAAATACTTTTGACATTTTTGCCCTTTGGAACAGAGTATGTTTCTAAGAGGCCCAAGGTCATTTTTATTTTTGGCCAAGAAACTGGCTACTTTTCTTTGGGGTCTTTTTACCCTAACTGCCTAGTCAAGTCCTACATCCTATTCTTATCATGCCATCCCCTGAAGAGGTTACCCAAATTGCTGATAGGGAATAGGGATGCAGACTGCTCTGGCTTCTTCCATGCTGAACAGGGATGCAGGGTGAGGCAATTGGGGTACCCCTTCAGTGGTTCTATCTAAAATTCTCCCAAATTGCATAACTCTTAACTGTAGGGAGAAAAGAAAGTCTTTGGTGCCTAAGAGACGTAAAGGAGAAGTAAAGGCAAGAGTAGTTAGCATTACAAGTTCTAGGTGGAGAACCAGAAAAAAGTCAGAACAGGGCAAATTTCAAATGTTTGTATCAGAGTGTGCTTTTTAAAGCTGCATTTCATCAATTCTAAGATATACCTTTTACTACATTCTTTTAACTCTTCTAAAATTATGATGCCTCTTACAACAAGTAATTTCTCAACATTGTGGTGATGTTAATCATCAGTCTTCTACACACACAAAATAATGTAGAACCTCACAATTGTATCAGATTCATCAAAACCACAATTCACTGTATTAAGAGGGATAATGAAGAGTCCTAATTCATTATTTTTTTTCTTTTTTCTTCAGCATATATTTATTGCATATAGCACTGGGTGTCATGAGAATACTTTCATACAAGTATATAGTGTACCATGGCATTCTCAATATTATTATTATCATTATTATTATTACTATTGTGTATGAGTGTATTGCCTACATGCATGTAAGTACATCTGTGTTGTGCAATATATGTGGTGGTCAGAGGAAGGCATCAGATACCCTGGAACTGGAGTTATGGATGGTTGTTAGCTGCCATGTGGGTACTAAGATTCAAACCTGGGTCCTCTGCAAGAGCAGCCAGTGGTCTTAACTGCTGAGCCATCTCTCTAGCCCCCTAAATATTATTTTTACATGTTGATCTTCTTTCTAGTATGTTGGGATAGATTTTGGAGATACCATGTTCTCACTTTAGACACTTTTACAGGTTACAACACTGATTGTAGAGCTACAGATTATATACAAAGTCTTTTTAGACCTTTAGCTTACTTCAGAGGTTGGATCTGGGTTTTATTATTTCTAGATTCGGTTTTCACTAGTTTTGAGTAGTAATACATCATAAGCACTGTAAACATTTGACAAAACTTTTTAAAATTTTTCCCATGTATTTGTGTATATTGTGTATATGCTTATGCATATACATGTTCTCATTTGTGCAGCCACATATGTGTGTGCATGAGCACATGTGTGCACATGTCTGTGGAGGCCAGAGGTTGATGTAGGGAGTCTTCCTTAATTGTTTTTCTTTTTTAAAATTTTATTTTTTTTAATTTATGTATGAGTGTTTTGCCTGCATGTATGTAAGTGTACCACGTGTATGCAATGCCCCACAGAGGCCAGAAGAGGGTATCAGATCCACTGGAACTGGAGTTAGGGACAGTTGTTAGCCACCATGGGGATGCTGAGAATTGAACCCAGATCCTCTGGAAGAACATCAAGTGTTCTTAACTGCTGAACCATCTCTCCGGTCCCTTCCTTGATTGCTTTTCACCTTATTCATTGAGGCAGGGTCTCTCAAATGACCCAGAGTGCTCTGATACTGCTAGTATGGCTAGCCAGTTTGCTCCAGAGATCCCTTGTCTCTACCTTTAGAGTACACTGGAATTATAGGTGGACTGCTTATACCCATCCACTATTTATGTGGATTCTGGGGGTCTGAACTCTGGTCTTCACACTTAAGCAACAAGTGCTTTAATCACTGAGCCATGTCCCCAGCCCACAGATTTAATTTGCAGTGAGGCATAGTCTGTCCAGGAACAGAGAGATCCCTGTGCTACTTATCATCCAGGCTCCTCTTCTTGGTCTGAAGTACCTGGGAAACCAAAGTAAAGGTGAGAAGGGGGCTTGATTGCCTAGGAGTCAGGGGTGAAAGGCTATTTTACATTAATGTGGTAAAACTGGGGTGGGCTATCCTTTGATAAATGATTAGAATTAATGAGTGACTTCCTCAGATGAAATTTCTGGTTGTTGCCCAGACAGTGATTACTGTTTCTTGGTGATTCTGAGCGCTTTTACAACAGGAGAGCAGAGACCAGCCGTGCAATCAATGGCTCTAGTTGTTAAAAGAAAGCAACATCAGAGAGATCTCCCTGGTTCCTTCCCCCATCCCCAGTCTAAGAACCAAATGTGAAGTCCAGGCTTTTCAGAGGTACTGCCGACTTGGCGGCCAGGAATTCCCTCTGGATACATAAGTGAGGCTAAGGCCCTTGTTCTGCTATCAGTCCTCTGCAGAGAGATGGACGGTTCCCTAGGATCCTCTCAGAGAGGTGAAGTGGGCTTGCCACCCTGTCTAATACGGTGCGGTGCCTTCACTGGGGGTTCAACTTATGCGACCCCCGCAAAGGCTTCTGCTGGGCACAGCCTCGCGCTGGGGTTTACAAACTCAGTTCTCTTCTTCACACCGCACCACCACCGCTGTAGGGACTTCCCTTACATCACTTCTGCTACGCACAGGCAGGAAGAATGCCAAGGCAAGACGAGATGGGTGGGAAGAGTAGGGGAGCGGCTGGGAGGCAGGACGGGTCTAGAAGCTGCTTTCCTGGGGCTTGAGCGGAGTACAAGTCCGTTCAGTTCCTCCGAGAACTAGGCCCTGCATCTCAGCCTCAGGCCATTCCGTGGGCCCCAGGCCTAGGCTGTGGTCACCATGATCAGAACCACACTGACTACTCCCTGTCTGACACCTTGCGCATTTCTCAGAAGTTTCT